TGACAAGACCTACTTCTTTCCAAAAAAAGAAAAAAAGTTAGTCTGTATTTGTTTTGGTAAGTGTTTTTATTTTATTTTATTTTTTATTTTTTGGAGATGGAGTCTCGCTCTGTCACCCAGGCTGGAGTGCAATGGTGCGATCTCGACTCACTGCAACCTCCACCTCCTCGGTTCAAGCGATTCTCCTGCCTCAGCCTCCTAAGTAGCTGGGATTACAGGCACCCGCCACCACGCCTGGGTAGTTTTTGTATTTTTAGTAGAGACGGGGTTTCACCGTGTTGGCCAGACTGGTCTCAAACTCCTGAGCTCAGGTGATCCGCCTACCTCAGCCTCCCAAAATGCTGGGATTACAGGCATGAGCCACCGTGCCCGGTCATGAGTCTTCAAGCCCGTGTACATGTACCATCATGATCAAAACAAAAACCCTGTCCAAACCAAACACAAGGATGGCCAGCAGTACAGTCCCCAGGTCAGGCCTGTGCAGGAGCAGGCTGGTCCCCACCTGTGTCCCACCTCTCATAAAGGCCACCTGTCAGCTAACACTGAGCCTGGGCCCTTGCCTTGGAGCGAGAGCGGCATGGCCGAAGCCCTGGCCCACCCTGTGGCAGGCTCTCCTGTCCTTATATACCGAGTGCCAGGAGGGTCAGTGTGTGGCCTGGACCTGCACCCCACACTGCTTTCCTCCAACCCCAGCGGAACACAGCCCACTCATCTCAGAACAGGCATCAACCCCCTCTCTGCTCACTAGGGCACTTCCCCTGAAGAAAGGGCAGAAGAAAGCCCCTTCTAGGGAGGGGTAGGACGGTGAAGGGTGGGGAACTGACATGGAAAGGCCTACCCACCCCAGTCGGCCACGTCCTCCCCACCCAGGGCGGTCTCCAGTTCTGTCCTAACCAAGGACCCGTGGCCTCCCTCCTCCCAGGTCGGAAGGTCAGTCCTGGAAGGCTCTGGAAGGTGTCCTGGGACTCACCCGCCAGGTAGCATTTTCATCAGAGGTTCTCAAAAGGAGACTTATCTGGGTTACATGGGATCACACTGGTGGCCATGGTCACCCTCAGTAAGAAACGGTAGATAGGTGTGAGGGAGAGATGCCCCTGCTGCCTGCCAGTGGAGCCATGCCATCCCCCACGAGGGTCTGAGCGGCTCTCCTCCCAAGTTTGTGGATTTGTAGATTTCACCATGTAGCTATGTCAGCATTTGCTTTTTCAGTTTTGAAGCAGTGTTATTGGATATACACAATTTCCTGATTGTTTTACCAGCAGACGGGATCCTTATTATTCTTGGATTCTGTATCTGCAAATCCATCTACTTGTTACAATTTATTTGTAGCCCCCAAATCAATGGCACTTTTGTGGTCACTTGCAAATATGCACGGGGTAGGGAAAATTCTGACATACTCTTTCCCACTGAGGTCGTTTCAGCTCTCACTGTAAACATACGTCCTGTTCAAGGTCTAGTCAATAGCACGGTTTTTCCCATTTGTGTGTGTGTGTGTGTGTGTGTGTGTGTGTGTGTGTGATTTCACTGTTTAAAATGGTCCTCAAGCCAGGCGTGGTGGCGCACATCTGTAGTCCCAGCTACTCAGGAAAAGCTACTCAGGAGAATCGCTTGAACCCACGAGGTCAAGGCTGCAGCTATGATCACGCCACCGCACTCCAGCCTGAGTGACAGAAGGAAAAAAAATAATCTCCACAAAAAAAAAAATAATTTTTTTTAAAGGCTGGCAACCGAGGCCAGGTGCGGTGGGTCACGCCTATAATCCCAGCACTTTGGGAGGCTGAGGCAGGTGGATCACCTGAGGCCAGGAGTTCGAGATCAGCTTGACCAACATGGAGAAACCCCATCTCTACTAAAAATACAAAATTAGCCAGGTGTGGTGGCAGGTGCGTGTAATCCTAGCTACTCGGGAGGCTGAGGCAGAAGAATCCCTTGAACCCAGGAGGTGGAGGTTGCGGTGAGTGAACATTGCGGGACTGTACTCCAGCCTGGATGACAAGAGTGAAACTCCGTCTCAGAAAAAAAAAAAAGGCCCCCAGCCGTTGTACTGAAGTGCTGTCTAGCATTCTCAAACACAAGGGCCTGGGATGAGTCTTACATAGAAAACGTGTGTTAGAGAGGCTTCATTCAGGCGTGAGTGACAGCGCTGTTGGCCATGAGTTTAATGTGAATGAATCAACATTATCTATCACACGAGGTGTCTTTATTTTATTGTATTTTCTTTTAATTCTCCACATTGCTTCAGAAAACAAGGTATCTTTAAAGAGAAACACACATAAAATAAGGAAATAGACTGATCGGCTGATGAAAATGTTGTGACCAGAGGCTCACAGGAGGCAGACCCTGAGTCTCCCTGAGGAGCCGTGGCTCAGCGGTAGCTAATTCAGTATTCACAGCAAAGCAGCACCTCCAATAGGAGAATCAGCTGTCATCTCTGGGCCTTGTTCCTCTGTGTGTCTCTTTATGGTGTGTACCTCTTTCCCCACCAACATATTCTAGCTTGAATTCTCTTATCTTGTTTTTTGTTTTGTTTTGAGACAGTCTCGCCGTGTTGCCCAGGCTGGAGGACAGTGGCACAATCTCAGCTCACTGCAAACTCTGCCTCCCGGGTTCAAGAGATTCTCCTGCCTCAGCCTCCTGAGTAGCTGGGATTATGGGCACCAACCACCACACCACGCTTGGCTAATTTTTTTTTGTATTTTTGGTAGAGACGGGGTTTCACCATGTTGGCCAGGCTGATCTCGAACTCCTGACCTCAGGTGATCCACCCACCTCGGCCTCCCAAAGTGCTGGGATGACAGGCGTGAGTCACCGCACCAGGCTGGATTCTCTTATCTTGTTTTGATAACCCACTCCTGCTATCTTTAGAAGAATATATCTGGGGTCTAGTTTTCTAACCTTTCATTTTCTACCCTCCTATATTATTTCCTTTTTAGGTATAGTTCTTAAAAATGCCACATTACTAGATTTTTCTTTCTAATTCGACCTGATAATTAATAAATGAGTTTAACCTATTAATATGTGTTAGATTACTACTATATTTAGACTTATTTTTAACATCTTATTTTGTGCTTTTGATAATGTACCTTCTCTTTGGGGTTTTTTGTTTGTATGTTTTTATTTTTTGCTTTCTCTCTTCCTCCTGTATTCTTATTTCCCTCTCCAACTTTTATTCTCCTTCACTGAAGAACTGAATAGATTCTGGCTGTGGCTCAGGCCTGTAATCCCAGCACTTTGGGATGCCATTGCAGGCTGATCACTGGACTCCAGGAGTTCAAGACCAGCCTGGACAACATAGCAAAATGCAGTCTCTCCAAAATACAGAAAAAATTAGCTGGGCAGCTGGGTGCAGTGGCTCACGCCTGTAATCTCAGCACTTTGGGAGGCTGAGGCGGGTGGATCATGAGGTCAGAAGTTCAAGATTAGCCTGGCCAAGATAGTGAAACCCCGTCTCCACTAAAAATACAAACAATTAGCAAGGCATGGTGGCAGGCACCTGTAATCCCAGCTACTCAGGAGGCTGAGGCAGAGAATTGCTTGAACCCGGCAGGCGGAGGTTGCAGTGAGCCAACGTCACGCCACTGCACTCCAGCCTGGGCAACAGAGCGAGACTCCATCTCAAAAATAAAAATAAAAAATTAGCTGGGCATGGTGGCATGTGTCTATAGTTTCAGGTACCTGGGAGGCTGACATGGGAGGATGGCTTGAGCCCAGGGAGGTTGAGGCTGTGATGAGCCATGATCGTAGCCCTGCTCTTCAGCCTAGAAGATAGAGTGGGGCATGGTCTAAAAAAAAAAGAGAGAACTGAACAAATTCTATTTTTATTTAATGGTTTACGTTTGGTATGGTTTGACTCTGTGCCCCCATCCAGATCTCATCTCAAATTGTAATCCCCACATGTTGAGGGAGGGATCTGTAATCCCCAAGTGTGGAGGGAGCAAGGTGATCGGATCGTGGGGGCAGTTTCCTCAGTGCTGTTCTCGTGATAGTGAGTGAGTTCTCACGAGATCTGATGGTTTTATAAGGGGCTGTTCCCCCTTCACTCTCTGCTTTCCCTCCTGTGCCTTGTGAGGAAGGTGTCTGCTTCCACTTCCACCACGGTTGTAAGTTTCCTGAGGCCTCCCCAGTCATGCAGAATTGTGAGTCAATTAAACCTCTTTCCTTTATAAATTACCCAATGTCAGGCATTTCTTGTTTTCTCCTTTCTTTCTCTCTCTTTTTTTTTTTTCTTTCTTTCTTTCTTTCTTTTTTTTTTTTTTTTTTTTTGACAGTCTCGCTCTCTCACCCAGGCTGGAGTGCAGTGGTGCAATCTCGGCTCACTGCAACCTCCGCCTCCCCAGTTCAAGCGATTTTTGTGCCTCAGCCTCCCGAGTAGCTGGGGTTACAGGTGAGAACCAGCTAATTTTTGTATTTTAACAGAGATGGGGTCTCACCATGTGGGCCAAGCTGATCTTGAACTCTTGGCCTCAAATGATCTGTCCACCTTAGCCTCCCAAAGTGCTGGGATTACAGGCGTAAGCCACCCCTCCCGGCATAGGTAATTTCTTTTTTTTTTTTCTTTTTTTTTTTTTTTTTTTTTTTTTTTTTTGAGACGGAGTCTCGCTCTGTCGCCCAGTCTGGAGTGCAGTGGCGCAATCTCGGCTCACTGCAAGCTCCGCCTCCCGGGTTCACGCCATTCTCCTGCCTCAGCCTCCCGAGTAGCTGGGACTACAGGCGCCCGCCACTGCGCCCGGCTAATTTTTTCTATTTTTAGTAGAGACGGGGTTTCACCATGATCTCGATCTCCTGACCTTGTGATCCGCCCGCCTCGGCCTCCCAAAGTGCTGGGATTACAGGCGTGAGCCACCGCGCCCGGCCCATAGGTAATTTCTTTATAGCAGTGTGAGAACGGACTAATACATTGTTAACTTGGGGAAAAAGAAGTTAAAAAAAACAACAACAGGAAAAAAGTGTTTTGATATACTTAAAGAAGAAAATCCAGTTTGCAAACACCACAGCAATAACTATTTCAGTCAAGAATGGTCATTGGCGTTAATACTGCTTTACAAGAGGTGCTGAAGACCGCCCTCATCCACAATGGCCTAGCACGTGGAATTCGCGAAGCTGCCAAAGCCTTAGACAAGCGCCAAGCCCATCTTTGTGTGCTTGCATCCAACTGTGATGAGCCTGTGTATGTCAAGTTGGTGGAGGCCCTTTGTGCTGAACACCAGATCAACCTAATTAAGGTTGATGACAAGAAACTAGGAGAATGGGTAGGCCTCTGTAAAATTGACAGAGAAGGGAAACCCCGTAAAGTGGTTGCTTGCAGTTGTGTAGTAGTTAAGGACTATGGAAAGGAGTCTCAGGCCAAGGATGTTATCGAAGAGTACTTCAAATGCAAGAAATGAATAAATAAATCTTTGGCTCACACACACACACACACACACACACACACACACAAAGAATGGTCATTGGACTCTAGCATTGGTATGTGAAAGTGTGGAGGAAAAGAGAATATTTACATTGTTTCAAAGAAACCCCTATAGGAGACTTAGTAATAACAGAGGGAAGACATGGTAACTTTACCATGGAGAACACTGGCAACTTTAGCTTACCTAAGTGATGGAAGTGTCTTGTGATATCATGCAGCTAAAAGGACACATCACTTCTGTAGTATTCTTGCTAATAATAAAAATAAAAACTGAAATTTAATCACAAGGAACCATCGAACAAGCCCAAATTGGAGACATGCTGTGAAGTGATTGACCAGCACTTGGAAGTGTCGAGTCATGGAAGAGAAGAAAGACTGAGGCCCTTCAACTTATTTTTTGTTTGTTTGTTTGTTTGTTTTTTGAGACGGAGTCTCGCTCTGTGGCCCAGGCTGGAGTGCAGTGGCATGATCTCGGCTCACTGCAACCTCCACCTCCCAGGTTCAAGTGTTTTTCGTGCCTCAGCCTCCCAAAGTGCTACAGGTGCACACCACCATGCCCAGCTAATTTTTTGTATTTTTTGTAGAGACAGGGGTCTCACTATGTTGGCCAGGCTGGTCTTGAACTCCTAACCTCAAATGATCCACCCGCCTCAGCCTCCCAAAGTGCTGCAATTACAGGTGTAAGCCACCACGCCGGACCTTTTTTTTTTTTTTTTTTTTTTTTTGAGACAAGGTTTCACTCTGTCATTCAGGCTGGAGTGCAGTGGCTCACTGTAGCCTCAGTCTCCAAGGTTCAGGCAATCCTCCCACCTCAGCCTCCCAAGTAGCTGGGACCACAGTTGAATGGCACCACGCTCAGCTAATTTTTTTTTTTTTTTTGCATTATTCGTAAAGACACGGTCTCCCATGTTGCTCAGGCTGGTCTCAAACTCCTGGACTCAAGGAATCTGCCTGCCTCGGCTTCCCAAAGTGCTGGGATTACAGCAGGAGCCACCACGCCCAGCCGCTTTTCAGCTCTTAAAAGTATGTATGATGAAACCGGGAATGGTAGGTCACACATGTAATCCCAGCACTTTGGGAGGCCGAGGTGGGTGAATCACGAGGTCAAGAGATCGAGACCATCCTGGCCAACATGGTGAAACCCCGTCTCTACTAAAAATACAAAAATTAGCTGGGCGTGGTGGCACACGCCTGTAGTCCCAGCTACTCGGGAGGCTGAGGCAGGAGAATCGCTTGAACCCGGGAGGAGGAGGTTGCGGTGAGCTGAGATGGTGGCCCCTGCACTCCAGCCTGGCGACAGAGAGAAACTCTGTCTCAAAAAACAAACAACGAGAAAAGTAGGTACCATGGCCTCTGCCTCTCGCCATCACTGGCAGGACTTTGCTCAAGGGCACAATTGATTCCAAGAAGGAAACTATGAACTACCAGCCAGGAGGGCAGGATGGAGACAGTGAGGGCGCGGCATCAGCCACACACTGCCTCATCTGAGTTTGCTGTGGAAAAGAAGCCCACAGATAGGGCCTATGTAAATCCAGCAAGTACACGTTCAGAAGCAAGCAGCCCGGAGAGCTGAGCGCACTTCTCAGGAGCTGTTATGCATGAATGCACTTGAAGTAAAAACACATGAAGGCCAGGAATTTCACACACACAAAAACAGATGTTGATGCAATACCCATTGTTTAAAAGGACTAAAACAGGAAAGGCACTATTATGAAGGGAGAAAAATATCCACCCTATGGAAAGTTTGACTCAAAAAAACTCAGCAATGCAGGAGGGGTGGAAAGTCTGAGCCTCTCTGGGAGCACTTACAAGTTGAAAGGACAGAAGTCTGTGCAACAGGTCCCTGGGCATGAACAATCCTTCTTTGTTTATTTTTCTTTGAGATGGAATTTTGATGTTGTCGCCCAGGCTGGAGTGCAATGGCACAATCTCGGTTCACTGCAACCTCTGCCTCCTGGGTTCAAGTGATTCTCTTGCCTCAGCCTCCTGAGTAACTGGGATTACAGATGCCCACCACCACAGCCAGCTAATCTTTGTATTTTTAGTAGAGGTGGGGTTTCACCATGTTGGTCAGGCTGGTCTCAAACTCCTGATCTCAGGTGATCCACTCCTGCATCGGCCTCCCATAGTGCTGGGATTACAGGTGTGAGCCACCGCGCCTGGCTGACGATCCTTCTTTTACACTTTCTTGATTTGAGTTTACCAAGGAGTCAGTCATGTAGTAGTCACATTCTCTACTTGCTGCTTTTGGAAACATCCATCATTTATTATGACAATGTAATTTTGAAGAATAATGACCCTTGAAAAAAGACAGGGTGCAGGGGCTCACTCCTGTAATCCTAGCACTTTGGGAGGCTGATGCAGGAGGACGGCTTGAGTCCTGGAGTTTGAGACCATCCTGGGCAATAGAGTGAGAGCCCATCTCTACAAAAATTACAAAAAGTGCCTGGCATGGTGGCTCACACCTGTAATTCCAGCACTTTTGGGGGGCCGAGGTGGGTGGATCACCTGAAGTCAGGAGTTCAAGACCAGCCTGGCCAACATGGTGAAACCCTGTCTCTACTAAACATACAAAAATTAGCCAGGCATGGTAGCGGGCGCCTGTAATCCCAGCTACTCGGGAGGCTGAGGCAGGAGAATTGCTTGAACCTGGGAGGTGGAGATTGCAGTGAGCCGAGATTGTGCCACTGCACTCCAGCCTGGGCTACAAGAGTGAAACTCCATCTCAAAAAAAAAAAAAAAAATTACAAAAATTAGGCAGCCATGGTGGTGCATGCCTGTAGTCCCAGTTACTCAGGAGACTGAGGTGGGAGGATCCCTTGAGCTTGGGAGGTGGGGAGGTTGCAGTGATCTGAGATTGTGCCACTGCACTCCAGCCTGGGCCACAGAGCCTGACCCTGTCTCAAGAAAACAAAGGTAGTAGGGAGATCTTGAGATGAGAGCATTCTGGATTTAGGGTAGGCCCTAAATGCAGTGACAAGGCGTCCTTATAAGAAGAGTGACACAGGGAGATTGGACACAGAAGGGAGAAGGTCACGTGAAGATGGAGGTAGAGACTGAGTGATGTGGCCCAAGCCACAGAAGGCCACTGAAGCCAGAGTCAGGAAGGATTCTCCCCTTGAGCCTTCAGAGTTAGGAGAGAATAGATTCCTGAGGTTTTAAGCCATGTGTGTACGGTCTTGTTCCAGCAGCCTCAGGGAGTGAAGGTACCAGCCATCCCGGCTTGCCCAGGACACTGCACTTTCAGTGCTAAAACAGAGAAAGTCATGGGTGAAGCCAGACAGGTGGGTCCCTGGTGGGTGCCCGGCCTTAGACTTGCCATTGGCATCCGGTACGTGAAGAAGCAGACACTGAGGGTCTCTCTGTAGCTGGCTGCCTGTGCCACCAGTGGTGATGTTGGCGTTGGTGGCAGGGCCCACATCTGGCTGTGGGGGGGTGCAGCCTTTAGGGCCTGGTGTGTGGGTAGCAGGGGCTCTGCAGGCATGCCATCCACACCTAACCCGGGCTGTGAAGTTGAGCTTTGCCATCCCTGGGAATCACCACGCCTGCACCCCCGTCAGCCCGGCCCACTGCCCAGCGGCTCTCTGGTGAGCACCTTCCTGCCTAAGCTGTTTGTGGAAGCTGCTTCTCTAGCAGCCAGACTGAATCGGAGGCCTCTCCCATGGCAGCAGGAGACCATGACCTCAGGGCACAGCCTCAGTGGGGTGCCAGGTGTGGGTCTTGGGCAGTGGGAACAGTGCCAGGTCCATCATTGTATATCTTAACTCACATCAGCCGTGCCTGCCGGGTGGGACTTTTACAGAAGAAACTGTGCTCTGGAGGTGACCATCCCGCCTGAAAGCAGTCAGCTGGCGGGGGCAGGGCGGAGGGGCACCGGAGTGGGTAAGCAGGGTCTCCTTGACCAAAGCTCTCTCCTCAAGCCTAGAAGATACTGTGGTCGTCCAGGATTTCTGAGAAGGAGGAGCTAGAGATTTCTGAATCCTCCTTGTCTGCTCTCCTGGTAGAGAAAGGAGGAGGACAGAAAGTAATCCACCTACTTTTGTAGGGTGACTGTAAACTGATGCAAACAGGATGAGGCCAGTAGCATTTTATTACTGGCCTCATTCTGTTGGCATCAGTTGCATGGCAGCACAAAACCAGAAAAGAAATAAAAACACAGAGCTTCCAAAGAGAGGAGGCGAAGTCGCTCTTTATAGACCACCTCACTGTCTACCAGGTGCCTGTGCACATGAACTGTTAGGACTGAGGCCTAAAGTCTGATTTTTTAAATCTTGCCCAAATTCTTATCTAAGGAGTCTGGGGAGTCATGCCCTACAAAGCATAAACTCTCATCAGGCTGGGCATAGTAGCTCATGCCTGTAAGCCCAGCCCTTTGGGAGGCTGAGGCGGGTGGATCACCTGAGGTCAGGAATTCAAGACCAGCCTGATCAACGTGGCGAAACCCCGTCTCTACTAAAAATACAAAATTAACTGGGCGTGGTGGCACACGCCTGTAACCCCAGCTACTCGGGAGGCTGAGGCAGGAGAATCGCTTGAACTCGGGAGGTAGAGGTCGTGGTGAGCTGAGATCACGCTGCACTCCAGCCTGGGCAAGAGCCACTCCAGCCTGGGCAACAAGTGCCAAACTCAGCCTCAAAACCAAGAGAAAAAACGTTGCTTTGAAATTTGGATCAGAATGTAAGTGTAATTCTTGTTACTTTGTCCCATTCTGAAAATATATTGGAAACAATTTTTTTTTTCTTTTTTTTTTTTTTTTTTTTTGGTGACAGAGTTTCAGTCTTTTGCCCAGCTGGGAACAATTTTTTATGCCAATAAAAATCCTGCAGCCACATCTTCCCAGCAACTGCTGAGTGCCAAAACTGTCCTGGCTGGTTCCTCTATCCAAATGCTGGATCAATGGCCATTTGCTGGATAGTTCCGTTCCTCTCTCCAAATGTTTGATCAATGGGTATTTGGCTTTCTCCTAAGTTTTTTTTGTTTTTTTTGTTTTTTTTTTTTT